ATGTTATGCCCTTACCTATAGCATCATCATTTAGAGCACATTTATAGTATTTGTTAGTTAAAAGTTAATCAATGCAAAACAAATATGATCACAATATACAAATCAACGTGTTTGGTGATCCCTTATGAGAAAACCTAGAGATAAGGAGAAGAACCAAACTCAAGTGTAATCTTGATATGATTGAGTTGATATGAGATGATAGAGGAATATTAGGGGCAAAAAATGGGGTACAAATAAACCCTAGCTCTTCTTCGTTGCACCGTCATTGCTTCCATAATCACCATCATCCAGCACCTGCAAAGCAACAGAAAAGATCAGTGAAATGACCCACTCAGCAAAACAAAAACAACCACGATCGGAGGTAACAACTTAGCTCTTGTTTTTTATTTCTATTTTGTTTCGTGATTTGGGTTGTGAGATAAAGATTTGGGGGTAAGGGAATGATCGTCGCTGATTAGGGTTTGAGAGGAGAGGCGACGATTAGGGTTTCTACGTGGGTGTTATGGTTAGAAGAGAGAAGAAGAATATGACATAGGAAGAGAAATAACGAAAATGACAAAAAATTGAAAAACAGAAAATATAATTTTTCGCAATCCTGTGCATCGCGTGTTATCATGCTTCCTCCATCATGACCGTGTGATTCCTATCAAGCGTCCCTAATTTACACGTCCATTGTATTACCATACACCCATCCGAATGGAGTCCAAACGGACTCCTCAAACACTTTGGGCCAGGCCCGTGATACTCGCACCTCCCCTCTGTGTTGTTTTACTAACACGCGCAAACCTACACCCACATCAGTCTAATTGACCAAATTCAACATATGGACTTGGACCCTTACTTCCTACACACCCAGATTTGCTATCACGTTAGGATTCAAACTCCTCATACGTTTAGGCCTGAATTCAACATCTGAATTCAGGGTCCTATTACATGTACCCCCATGTTTTGCTAGCCCAACATAATTTACACCCCCCATGGATTTTAATTTATTTCCTTTAATTATTTTATTATAACTATTTTTATGTTTTAATATATTTATAAAATCATAATATTATTTTATTATTATTATTATAAATCAAATATTTATTTTCTAAACTCATCCAAATATTTATTTTATTGCATTAAAATTATTTTTTACCATGCATTAATAAGATGTTTCATAATTAATACATTAAAAAAAATATCTAACCAACACTAAATTTTTTTTCATAATAAATTAAATCTAAATCAATTTTCAAAAAGGATTACCAGAATATTTTTTCGACTGCGCACTCTGTCTAAACACTCCGCTATTTACACGCCCTGACTAAGTACAAGAGAAATTCAAGTATATTCTTAATCCATAAAAAACACCAACCAACACCGCGAACTACGAATTGAGACTTTGATTCCTCATAAGAGAATTCGTAGGCATACGAATAAAATCCTGAAGAGTTCCCCTAATAAAAATTAAAACCCTATTTCCTAAGCCGAAATTCTAAATCCTAGTATCCTTGTGAACAAGGTAGATGAGGGGTGCCTAACACCTTCCCTTCGTCTAAAAACGAGTCCAACAACTTAGAATCTCTGACCAAATTAGGGTTATCCTTTATATCCCCTTCCTTAGGATACAACTTAAGGGTGGTGACTCTATATTATAAAACCGGTTACAACAGAAGCCACGATTTGAACCTACTTTAGTATAGCAATGATGGAAACTGAATTGTGTACATCTCAATGGGATGTTTGGAAAGATGGCCATTATGACCATGACGTCACAACAGTAATGGTCACCATGAAGCAACTTTTGCGTCGAAATGAAAGGTTTTGTAAAAAAATGTCCATTTCTTCACGTGTTTCGAAATACACATTTTTGGGGGACAATTTGTTAGCTGAGAATTTCGACGACATATGACATTGAGGAAAATGAAGAAATCGAAAGAAGTTTAGCTTTGGAAGAGAATATAAGAATATTTCATAAGGGATTTCGACTAATAAAATTATGGACAACTTGATTATGTCAAGCGATGGAGAAAGTCTTATTGCGGAATATATAGGACTTAAGTTATGTGAAAACTCGAATTTGAATTGTTTCGACAAGTCATGTTGTTGTTTTGGAGCTTTGAATTGAAGAAGGATTCAAATTTAAATAGTTTAATCTTATCCGGAAGGACACATGAAAGTCTGGAGATTCGAGGAAGCATGCAAGACTTGAACGTGGCACTTTTGTAGAGAAACACTGTTAGAGTCGAATTAGTATAAATTAGGATCTTTGTATTATGATTCAGTGTGTTCACTTTTGTACAAATCACTCATACAAACTAGAAGTATCAGTGTTAAAGAAAAGATTCATTGAGAATGTACGTATTGAAATACCAATTTATATTCAAAGTCATTTACATTTAAATCAAGTCTTTTACTTTTCGTTTAAGTTTAAGTCGAATTCCTTTAAACTTCAGTTTTTATTTTAAAATCTTTTATCTTTATCTGAAAAGCTCTTGTCTTTACTTTTACCTTTGTTATATTTATCTTTTCGACGTAAAACAAATACTCATAAACATTAAATAGAAACAATTTTAGACACATGTCCTAGATCAATCTAGTCAATCCTGCGAGTAACCAAAAATTATTTTTGTTTAAGAGAACTAGCGGTTGTTTACCAAATTTCACGATAAATAATAGTCAAGATAAATAATAGTCAAGATATATTAGTTATTCAATATATCTAAAAAGTGAATTTTTTCTTATAAATAGAATTAGAAGTAATAATCATTATTACATTAAAAAATGAAAATAACAATCATTTTAAAATAAAATTTATTTATTAAAACGATAATTATTTTAAAACGAAGGAAATATTGAACTAAAAGCCGCCGAGTTATACCAAAACAAGACTCATTCTTAGTTTTTTTTCCTCTCTTCTTATCTACTGAAATGCATTAAATATAGAAAAATTCTTATCTTAAATATAAGTATTATTTTATAACGTGTAGATATATGGTGTAATTTTTAAAATTGCAATTTAATCAACAAACATTTTCTCGCCAAAACTCTTTTTCTTTGAATTAATAATTATTATTAATTGATTATTGATTATTAATAATTAAATTAAAACCAAAACTCTTTTTCTTTTAATTAATTATTATTAATTGATTATTAATAATTAAATTAAAATAATATTTATTCCACTAACTTACATTCCTATTTATCCTACTAATATTTTTCCCATAAATTGAATTTGAAAAAATAAATATCACTCCTAACTTACATTCCTATTTATCCTATTAATGTTTTTTCCCATAAATTTAAATTGAAAAAATAAATAAAACACGTATTGCAAATCTTCAAATACATAGTCAAATATCAACCACGTAAGTAGGACACCTAATAGCATTAAATTACAAAACTAAAAAACTCTTCTTATTGATTATTAATAATTAAATTAAAATAATATTCATTCCAATACCAACCACATAAGTAAAACACCTAATTGCATTAAATTACAAAATTAAAAAATTCCTTTTCTTTTTTATTTTTTGGAAAATGAAAAACTATAATTAACCAAAAAAGTTGAATATACGGCGATCGCTTGGTTGACCATTACTTTGTACAATTGATGATTTTTTCAACAAGGATCATGTAATGACACACAATTAGCTTTTACTAGTAAGCGGAACTCCCAATACTTGAAAGGAAGAGAGCCTTCCTTGAAACCAGTTAGACACATAATATCCTTTTTATTCTCACCATCTACAACACAAAGTATATTCTTCTCTTATTAGGATTGAGATGCAATCCTGTTGAATATGAAAATTTATGAAGAGTTTGAAGAATGAGGCCTACCGAGCTGTAATCACCTCTAGAAAAAAGGAGCACATCATCCGCAAAAATAAGATTCGTAAGCTGCATCCTTTCACACTTAGAATGGTGATTAAAATTTGAATTCAATTGCATTAGTGAAGACTATGTTGGAGATATTCCATTATAAGCACAAAGAGATATGGGGAAATAGGGTCACCTTGTCGTATCCCTTTTTGGGCTTGCATTAGCTTAGAATATGAACCATTAACATTAAATTTGTAGGAGACTGATGAAACAATTGTCATTATCCCTCTTATGAATATAGGGGGGATACCAACTTCCTGCATAATACTTTCCAAAGCTTTACAATCAACCATGTTGTACGCTTTCTGCATATCAAGCAGAATCATACATCTAGGAGTTCCACCCTTCCTAGTGTACCCTTTGATTAATTTGTAAGCTAAAAAAATATGATTGTGGATTTGTTGACCTGGGACAAAAGTCTCTTGTTTGGAACTAACAATACTACCAATAATTCTACCTAACCTTACTGTTAGAATTCTCGAAATCACTTTGTAAAAAGTGGTGCACATAAAGATAGGCCGAAAGTCCTTTATGGATTTAGCAGACTCATGCTTCGGGACAAGGGATACAAAGGTATAGTTGAAAGCTTTGTAAGGTTTTACTTTTTCAAATGATTCATGTACTGCAGTAGTCATGTCCTGTTTTATAATTTCCCTGCTATCTTTAAAGAACCACAAGCTGAAACCATCTATGAAAGGGGATGAGGAATCCTTTATGCCTTTGAGAGCAATAAGAATTTCCACTTTATTAACAGGCTCCTCAAGAGCCTCTCTCTGAGATCTGTTTAATTGAGTGCCCCTACGCATCGCCCCCACATCAATACACTGAATAAACGCTTCTTTTTTCCCCATTAGGCCACCAAATAATTAGAGAACTTCATCTTTAATCTCAGCAGGAGTAGATAGGACAGTTCCATCATCCTTGATCAAGTAATTCATGTTCATGGCAGTTTGTTTGGACTTGATAGAGGCATGAAAGTAGGAGTTGTTTCCGTCCCCTAATTTCAACCACTGAATTTTAGCTCTTTGCTTCATAATTTATTCATCAATATCATTCCATTTGATTAAATCTTCTGTACAACTTTTCACCTCCCGAATTTTTAGACTGTTCATTTTGTCCCCAATCAAATCTGTCTAAGCCTTTATAAGATTACTTATGGCTTTGGAAATATTTTGTTTAGCACAAATCAGAGGTTTATTCAATTTTCTCAGGACTGGTTGGAGTCTCCTTAGCTTCTTCCATAACACAAACATTGTGCTACCCTCCAAAGGCAAATCCCAGCAGCTCTTAACAACATCTTTATAACCCTCTGCCCACATAATACAATTAATGAATTGAAACCTATGAACATGTCTAGGTGGAACATGATTAGACAAGTAAAGAAGTGCATGATCAGACACAGATGGGGGAAGAATTTTAATGGTAGTGTTCAATTGGGCTTGGGACCAATCAACATTCCCCAGGACCCTGTCTATCCTAGAATAAATAGTCCCCACAATACGTTTATTAGACCACGTAAAATAATCCCCACGACTATCCATCTCAAATAACTCTTTCCTCCTCATCATTTCCTACAAATGCATATACTCTGCTTCAGTCACCATTTTCCCCCTATTCGACCTTGGGCCTTCACAACATTATTAAAATCACCCATTAGGCATCGAGGACCCTGTTGCTGAACTTTCTCAATATCCCTCCACGGCAGCTTCCCTTGTTCCAGTTTATTTAAAGCATAAATTGCAGTTAACCAAAACCTAAAGTTTCCATGAATGTCAAATACTCCACAGTGGGTCATTTGACTAGTAAAACTAATAACTTTAATGTCAATATTATTATGGTTCCATTGCAGCCATATCCTTCCATTGTCATGAAACTGATAATTGTCAATGAACTTACCACCAATATTCAACTCATTTCTTATGTGACTAGCTTGAGCATATTTAAATCTTGTTTCTATCAACATATTAATATCAGAGTGAAGCTCTTGGAGACGGGAGCTGATCTCCCTGAGCTTACCTGATTTATTAAGCCCCCGTACATTCCACAATACAATCATTGACCTGTGTTTTGTAGCACTAGGAGATCCTTCAATATCCCTAGTAGATCAAACCCATTTTCATACAAGACTGTATCAGAAGTACCTTCATTGAGATGTTTCTTTCCACTGGAGTTAACTTTTATCCATACCTCAGGTTCTTCCTCAGGCTTCCTTGTGCTTTCCTTTACTATGACCGTTGTAACAGTCTCAAGTTTGTTCTCCTCTGGTGGTTTAGGTTTTGGACACCATTGTTTCTCCTTCGATTTTGGTTTGTCACAATTATGCCCTGGCTTTTGGAATTTAACACAGAAGAGGGGCTTCTACTCGTATTTGACTGCCTGCCTCATCTTCATACCTTCATCATCTTTTAGAGTAATCTCCTTAGGAAGTTCCTTTGTGTTGTCTATTTCAACCAAAATCCTCGCATATGAAACACGAAGTTTGTTTGCTGAGCATTCATCGATGACCATTGGATTCCCTAAAGCATTTCCAATTTTATTTAGGCTTGAGGCTCCCCACAAGTATAAAGAAAGTTGGGGAAGCTAGACGCATATAGGCAAAAATCTCAATAGATCATTCTTCAGGTTGAAATCCGGACGCCATTCTCGAATAACCATAGACATGTTTCTAATGGTATAGGGCCCCTTCATCAACACATCATCCCTGTCTCTAAATGACTTAAATTTCAGGATAAAATATCCTTCTTCATTGTAAAACATATCCGGAAGCTGCACAAAATTCCAGGTCTTTACCATAAAGTTTTTAACCGCATTCATGCTCAGTTCCCCACCCAAGACATACATCACTAGTGAAGTCTCCCAAAACCTAATCTCTGAAATGATGTCTTCTGCAGTTATCTCCACCTCAATTTCGCCATCGACGATTGTTGGTGCTACGAATTCCAGAGCTAAACCTTTGGCTGGATTCCTGTTCTGGTTCAGGACATCAACCCACAACTTCCTCGAGTCCTTTGTTCCTTCTTCAGATTTCGTTGAAATTAGGGTTCCATGATCGCTGAATCTTCCTCCACAATAGGTTCCTCACTTTTACTTGAGCTAACTTGAAAGTTTGAAAACACTTCCTGAGCATTCTTTGAATAGATCAAATTGTAAAACTCTCTAGCGTTCATAGGACAAGGGCGGCCGAAAAAAGACGGTACCTCCGCCGAAAAAGACGGTACCTCCGCCGAAAAGTCGCGACATTCATTCCACTAACCTCATTCCATTCACTTACATTCCTATTTAATTAATAACAATAATTTTATTTCATTTATCCCATTAACTTAAACTCCATGTCATTTATGTAACCTTCCACTAACCCTTTAATTCCCACTTATTTATAAAACCTACATTTACAGTTATACAAAATGACCGCATGAATTACAATCCACTAACCATTGAAAACCCTTTAAATACATGAGGGAACAATAAACGTTTTATAAATATTTTATTGATATTATAAATATATTACTTTTATAATATGTTACCTTCCTTTAATTTTATTGATATTTGTCAACTGTAATTCTTGATTTTTTTTTTCTAATGGAATGGAATGATTATTGTTAGCAGTGACAGAGTCAAAAAAAAAAATATAAAATCTGGATAAAAATTTAAAGACAGTAAAATTACATTGTATATAAATAATCATCATCAAAATAAAAGAGACTCGTCATTTTGTCAATAAAAATATAATTTAAAATAAATATTCTTTTCGAGACTTTTATAATATAGTCTCTAAAATTTATACTATAATAAATTAAAATAAAATTATAAAGATTATAATAAATATTCTAAAATTATATATATAATTTGAGAATGAAGTGTGATGTATGTACAAAATAACTTTAATTTTTCTCTCGAGTCCGGGCAGTTGCCTATGCTGAAACCACCACTGATTGTGAATTTTTTTTTAGAATAATCATGTATTAAAAAAAAATTTCACAAAAAACCACGTTTCGGAAAAAATTACACAAATAACCATGTTTCAGATGACTCCCCATAGGAGGAGCCATCTCACTTGGCGCCTCCACCTAGGGTTTTGCCCTAGGCGCCATCTCACTTGGCGCCTCCTCTCTCTTTTAGCCAAGTGAGATGGCGCATGCACTTTAAAAGTGAGAGGAGGCGCCATCTCACTTGGCTCCTAGGGCAAAATGTTGTTTTTATAAATAATTCGTCCGTTTCTCCATCATTTCTCACACTTTCTCGCACTGTTTTCTTATTTTTTACTCAGTTATTTGCGTCATGACATCGCCCATGATTTTTACCAGAGATGGTTACGTTATCTTCTCCGCCACGAAACCTGTGATGAAAATGAAATTATGGCATATTCACTCCATGGAGCGTCGGAAGCGGGAGTTGATGCGATGGCTAGATGGAGACATTGTGGAGGGGGGGAAATTTGAAGGATCCAGCGAAGACGAACAACAACCTCACATGCGACTGGAAGACCTAATGTATGGTTGGAGGAAGTCAAAACAGACAGCGACGTAATGTTGATGATGCATGGGTCAGGTGAAATTGTTTTAACAATTGTAATTTCGTAGACGGAATATCGTGTTTTTTTCTTGTACGCGCAATATTTATTGTAGCAAATACTGTTAACGAAAAACCCTAATGTTTACAACATAATTAAGGAAAGATTTTATGTATTACAATTTTTATGTGGTCGAGGCAGACGCCCGATTCAGACAATTTTTGCGATTGTGTCTGACCTGACGGCATAAACCACACTTTCTTTCCAACTTGTCAAGGTCGTCCATTTCGGTTGTGATGCGCTTACTTTTGGGACAAACTTTTTTGTTCCTTCGCATTTGGTCATTGTGCCACACTATTTCGCCGTCGTATGCAGGCCAATAATCTGGTTTTGCTACCAAAGGAAAGTTGTTGTTGTAAACGTTGAGCAACGTTTCAGATTTGTAAATGTGTGACAGAAGTTGTAGCGCGTCTTGATGGGTATAAGCACGAGCGGCAATGACATGAGAGCAAGGCATACGAAAGGCTTGAAACTTGCCACAATTGCACCAACGAGAAGGTAGTACAACCCTATATTCTTATCTTGGCAGGCCTTCGTTGTGGTCGATTGTCTCTTTCACAATGAAGTTGTGGTTGTGTCGGTCAAACCGTATAACCATATGAGTGTTGGCTTTGTCACTTTCTACCTTAATGTACTTCATGCAGCTTTCACTCCATAGTTGTCCAGATTGCAACACCGCATTCCACATTTCACCTCTTTTGGCAAACAACGAAGTCATCCTAAAATACGTAGATTTTACCAAAGTAGTGATCGGGAGGTTTCGTATGCCTTTGAATACCCCATTCATCGATTCAATAAGATTCGTTATCATGTGCCCCCATCTTTCACCATTGTCGTATGACCTAGTCTATTTTTCCACCAGAATATTGTCGATCCACCTACCGGCTTCCGGATTTGACAAACGGATCTCGTTGTGGTAATATTTGAACGTGGGTTGTGTCAATGCATATCCCACATTCATAACCGCTTTCCTTAGTGTTTTGTCCTTGATCTCCCTCGTGAAATTTTGGACGATATGCCTAACGCAATAGACATGCGTAGAAGGAGGGTCATGCCAACCGTTTGCAGGATTATTATAGGCACTTTCAATTGAGGCATGTCTGTCCGAGATCAAATAGAGATCTGGTTGAGGAGCCACGTGTGTTCGCAGGTTTTTCAGAAAAAAGCTCCAAGCACCACCGGTCTCCCCCTCGACTAGGGCAAAGGCAATTGGGAAAATGTTGTTGTTGCTATCTTGTGCAACTGCCATCAGTAGCGTGCCTTTATATTTCCCATACAACCAAGTCCCATCAATTTGTATAATTAGTTTGCATGATGCAAACCCTGTGATGCAAGGTTGAAATGCCCAAAACACTCGACTGAATATTCCATTTCCGTTTAGTTGACTATGATCTTGGGCGTATGTTGGCATTGTTTCCAGAATGTAAACAGTGCCCGGAGAATAAGTCTTGAGTGCATTCAGGTAGCGAGGAAGTTCTTGGTATGACTCCTCCTAGTTTCCGTACACCTTTTCAATCGCCTTGGTATTTGCTAACCACACCTTACAGTAAGACGGAGTATAGTTAAAAACCATGGTGATGTGGGAGATGATGGTTTTCACCTTCAAAGATGGATCGTTGCTGACCAGTGGTAGGATTTCTTGACAAATGAGATCGTAATTAAGTTTTCGATGGTCCTGTGATTGGGTAGAACTGACACAAGTGTGGGTAGTCATGGAACCTATGACCCAGCAATCACCTCTTAATCTGTATGATGCAGTGAGCTTGAACATACAGTCATGGTGGATACACTTGATCTTGTACCTTTCTGGGTTGACACGGTCCACCTTAAAATCGACTGAGTTGAGCATGTGGAATTTTTTTATGGCTCTGATGCATTTCTCTCTGTTACGAAACTTGTCCTTCTCTTTTAAGTTTTCATCCGACTGCATATACGGATTGAAAAATAAATCAGAAGACGGTTCATCTCCGCCCATGTTGAAGTTTGTCATATGCGGAG